CCACATTGCGCGCGGAAAGTAAGAGTCATCCACCGCCTGGCAGACGCCTACCTCTAAATCCCTTGCCAGGACATGGGCCGCACCTCCTGGGACAAAGCCAGAAGCCCCACGATTCCAGAGAAAATGACGAGGATAGCGTTCGCTTGGAAGACCAGACTCGAGCCGGGGGCCATGCTGGGCGTGTCGCGGTTGTTTGCCTCCTGCACAAGAAACCTCCACTCTAGAGACCACAGCATGCAATGCAACGCTGCGCCGGAGAACCCGCTCGCGGTCAGGCCGAGTACCTTCCACAAGGTTGACCAAGCAGGGAACCAGCGCCACAACTCGATCGCCAACCTCGGCTGGCAGATCCAGGGTCAAGGCAGTGGCCGACAGCACGTGGTCCAACTTCCCCTTGAGATCGTCCTTCTCGGCGCTGAGGCGCTTCAGTGCAGCGCCCGCACTGGCCTGAGCGGCTTGTCAGGCGGCTGTGCGTTCCGCCCGCGAACGATTCCAGACGCCATTACGGGCACTTTCCCGCGCCATGTGCCCACGAGCCCAAAGCCTTGCTCCCCCAGGTCCCCCACGCCCGCCAAGTTGCCCCGTGAGCCTGGGTCTCGGAGTACGCCGGAGGACACGGCCCAGGAGCAGGGGGCCTACGGACAGGCCTGAGCCAAAATGGCTACGGAACCTCATCATCATTATCATCATCATCATCATCATCATCATCATCATCATCATCATCATCATCATCATCATCATCTCCTTTTCTCCATCTCATCCTCATTTCTCCTCCCCACATCTTCCTTATATCCTCCCCATATTCTCATCTCTTCCTCTACCTCCTCCTCCTCCTCCGCCTCCTCCTCCTCCCCCTCCTCCTCTTCCTTCTCGTCTTCCTCCACCCCCTCCTCCTCCTCCTCCTCCTCCTCCTCCTCCTCCTCCTCCTCCTCCTCCTCTTCCTCTTCCTTTTCCTCCTCATATTATCCTCATGTCCCCCATGTCCTGTTCATATCCTCTTCAGTTCCTCCTCATATCCTCCTCGTCTCCTCATCCTGTTCCTGATCCTCCTCATCCTCCTCCTTCCTCGGTTGGCCGCTACGCAAAGCATCCGCTGCTCTGGGCTCATACCTGCAGCAGGGCGCACGCACTGTTTCGCGACATCCCTCGTTTCCTTTGTCTCGTGGTTGCCATCGCTGTGGGCCGGCGCCGGTCCCGTGTTCAGCGAAGCCCGCCAGTGACTCTTCGCCGCGATTTTCCCTGGCGGCGTGGAGAGCCTCGTGCTGATCGTCGGCTCGGCGGGGTTCCTCCTGGGGTACAGTTGTGCTGCGATCGACGTCTGCCCCTGCGCTGCCCGCGCTCGAGAGAGCGGGCGCCGCGACGGCGAGGACTGGCAGGTGAGGGCGGTGCTCACGCCGGCGACCGCTGGCGACCTCGTCGAGGTGACGGGAATCGAGAGCGCCGACGACCACGTAGTCCAGCAGCAGATCCGGTTCGCCCTGTCACCCGACGGGGGCATCTACCCCATCTCCTCGCGGCGCCCCCGCTGGCGGACTGGCGCCGCGCCGATGCGACGGACCTTTGCGCAACGGCGGCGTCCAGGGGCCGCCAGCGGTCCAGGCGCGAGAGGGCGCGCGGGGAGGACTGGGCGCCTTTCCCTTCGAGTTCAGCCAGGCCACCAGGTCCGCAGCGGTGGGCGACTCCGCCGACCCGAACCCACCAGCGGGGGGGCTACGTCGCAAGCAGCAGGGGGCGGCCGCAGCGGCAGCGAACAGTCTCACAGCGACGACGACCTCGCCTTCAGCGGATCCGGCGGCTCCTGCAGAGAATGAGACCGGCACCACGCTCAGCCTCGCGTCTGGCAGGTTGTCCGCTCGTCCGACAGCTCGCTGGGCTGCAAGCTGCTAGACGACTACCGCGTCGACTGCCGACCATTATCGGGGACTTCGGCACCGCCGAGATCGGCGGCAAAGCCATCATCGCCAGGGCCGTCGACTCCAAGACTGCCAGGGACGGCGGGGCCGACCTCGACGCCAAGGCGACGCTGGTGCTCGAGACATCCACGGGCGAGCGGAAGCGCGCCTTTCGCGACGCTGTCAAGTTCCTCCAGGAGTCGCAGTGGAACTCGCGGACCGTCCGCGGGTGGAACTCGCGGCCCGTCCGCGGGCCAGGGAAACTCAAGCGGCGCCTGGAGTTATTCGGAGAGCAAGACATACGCCCGAGGGCGAGGCACGCTAATCGGTAGACAGAGCGCCGGCTCGGAGCTGGCGACGTCGGAGTGTCCGACCACGAGTTTGCGATGAGGGCGTTCGAGGTGGCCGCGGCGCATGACCAGCCGATGGCCTCAGAGCTGGCTCACGTCGAGCGCCTCGCCCGCAGCGCGCAGATGGCGGAGCAGAGGCATCGCCACCTCGTCGCCGTCTCGAACGCGGACGAATGGGCCGCCCATGATGGCCCCCGACCTGCAGCGGCACATCACGGAGGAGCTCCATAAGAAGGCGGCCATCCTCAAGGAGCGCCGCAGGCTCCGCGAGGAGAGGGCCACCACCCGCGGCCCTGGCGGCAGCGGCCAGGCAGCAGCGCCCCCGGCGCCATCGAGCCCAAGATCAGGAACCAGACGGAGGAGATCGAGCGCCCGCAGCCGCGTCTCGGCGAGAAGTCGGCAGATTCGAAGCCCGACCCGCCCAAAGGCGGCGGCCGCGGGCGCGGTGGCAAGTTGCAGCGGTGCCCCGACGAGCCCCTGCCGGTGGGAGCTCCGCGGGATGGAGGACGCTCGGCGGGGGCCACTCGCCGCTGCCGCGCCGCGCGCTCCAGACACCGGCAGGCCGAGTACGCCCAGGACTGGGAGTGCGAGGCGCACGAGGCGCTCAACGGCGCCTACTCACACGGGTCGTCAAGGATGGGGTCAAGTTTTGTCGAGCGCGCAGGCGATCGATGCGAAGCACGTCAAGGATACGGCCCCCACCGGCCCGCCCAGCATCGCCCCAGCGGCAGCATACACCGAGGCGCGGAGGCGCCTGCCCAGCCACCGCGAGAGAACGGGGACCCGCGCGCCCCAAGCGGAGCAAGACCTTGCCCCCCGGCGTGGGCTACGCCTGATGTGACGGCCAGTCGCTGCCCGAGGGCGCCAAGCGCGAAGAATGGCTGGGCCGACAGGACCCGCCAACGCGACCAGCATCGAATGTCTGCGAGGATCGGGCCAAGCTCTTCTCAGACCCAAAGATGGCACGCTCGCCGTCGCCCCATGCTTCCTCATCTTGGACCTCCTGGACTCCAACCCCTTGCACTTCTGGCCGGAGAAGCCAGCCGCCGCGCGGATGTTCCTCGCGCCGAAGTCCGAGAAGAGCCGGCAGCACCCGGCAGTCGACACCCGGGCGGCCACTGAAGAGTTCTCCGAGCCGGGGCGCGCGCGGCCCCCGCAGCGCGGGGCTGCCCCCAGAGCTGAGCCGACGGTTCGCGCTGCCGGCGGTCAGCAGGCGGGTCTTGCTGGCGGCGCGGCCTGGCCCACGCTCTCCCCGAGAGGGGCTCGGATCTCCGGTCGCGCCCGAGCGCCGTCGACGAGGTGGGCTCGAGCCTGCGCTTCTGCCGGGCGACGGCGGAGACAGCCACGCGGCGCGCAGGCTTCTCCGAGGACCGCCTTGTCAAGGACCGCCCCGCGACGCCGGGTGCGCGCCCGGGGCCAGAAGCGGCTGTCTACGTCGACGGCGCTGAGGTCTTGGGCGCCGAGGCCAGCGTCGCGGGCCAGCGCTGCCGGGGCCACCCGGACTCCCTGACGGCGCGCGGGCCCGTCTGCAAGAGCATCGAGCGCTCGGGGGGCGCGCGGAGGATCGCCGGGCTGCGATTCGACATCGAGAGCGGCAGGGTCTCGTTCGGGAGCGAGCGGCTCTGGCGCCTGCGGCTCGGGCTGCTGCGCGCGGCGGACCAGAGGTCCATCTCCGGCGACGACCTGCGGCGGCTTATGGGCCACCTCACAGGCGCCCTTCGCGCGCCGGGAGCTGCTGGCGCTTCGACAGCGCACGCCGCTTCGCCGACCGCGCGGAGGCCCGCCGCTGGCGCGCGCGGCCGAGCGTGGAGCTGCATCTGCAGCGCGCCGCGGCCCTCGCGCGCTTCTGTTTCGTCGACCCGAAGCGCCCGACTGGGTCCGACATCTACGCCGCGGACGCCGCGGGGAGTTCGGTCGTCGACGCTTGCGGGCACGGGGCCACAAGAAGGGACTGCGATCCCAGCGCCGCCCCCCGCCCTGCCAGCCAGGCAAAGCGGCGACGGCACAACGTGATGGGTGCCACCACCGCCAGGCATCACACGCCAGGAATGTAGGCCCCTCGCGCCGTCGCCACGCGGAGCGCTCGGGGGGGTCAGAGTTCCTGGCGGCGACGGCTGACGACGCGGGCGACTGCGCCGACTGGAAGCTGAAAGTGAGAGGCCGCTGGCGCCTTCAAGACAACACCATGCGAACCGCGGGCCGCGCCGTGACCTCATTGGCGAGACACCATCCGCGGTGCGTCTGCGCCTGAGGCCAGGGATTAGCAGCGCTGCGCGACAACCTTCACGTCGCCCTGGCTCTCGGGGGAGGAAGGCCATCATCGCCCCGCCCGCTGCGGACTTGCTCCGAAATTATTGCCCTCGACTTCTCGGGGGACTTGGACGTCGCAGACAGGTGGATCGCGTCAGAGCTGAACCTTTCCGACCGCCCATCTCGGCGCAAGGGCGCGACCAGCCCCGGCCTCAGTTTCGACCCTCGCACCGCCTGGCGCGACGCCGAGGCGGCCGCCCGCCAGGCCGCCGAGCGGCGAGGCCAGGCCGTCAACGAGCTCGTCCAGGGCGAGGCCGGGGGCCCCGCAGATCCGGGCAGAGTCGCCGCGCTCGGGGGCGACTTCCTCGCGGGCCCGGCCCTGGGCGGCCCCTGGATTCCGACGTTCGCTGCCGACCTCGGCCCGGGGCCCAGCTGCGACGACGGGAGCACGGGCTCCGACGGGGACCTCGCGGAGCCCCCTGCGCGAGCGCCGGGGGGGGGGGTCGGTCTCGGACTTGGCGGCGGCGGGGAAGCAGGCGCAGGGGCGAGCCCGACAGCCACCGCCGCGGCGGCCCGGCGGCCGCGCGGCCTCCCCGCCCGCCGGGCACGTCGTTCCCGGAGGCCGCAATGTCATCGGCGGGCGCCCAGCCTGCGCCCCCCGCGCCCCCCCCTCTTCTTCCTCCTCGCCACCCTCCCCGTCCGAGGCCTCGTCGGGCAGTCGGACTTCCGGGGCGGATTTCCAGAGCAGAAAAGCCGGGTCGGGCCGGCCAGTTGTTATGCTTTCCCTTTCGGCGACGCCCCGCTCACCCCCTCTCCTGCTCGTCACCCCTCCTCCTCCTCCTCCTCCTCCTCCTCCTCCTCCTCCTCCTCCTCCTCCTCGTCATCATCAGCATCATCATCATCATCATCAACATCATCATCATCATCATCATCATCATCATCATCATCATCATCATATCATTATCATCATCATCATCATCATCATCATCATCATCATCATCATCATCATCATCATCATCATCATCATCATCATCATCATCCCCCCCCCCTCCTCTCGCCTTTCATCCTCGGTCCTCGCTTTCTTCTCCTTCCCTCGCCTGCTGCCTTCGGCCGTCCCCCCCGCCCCCCGCCCCAGCGGAGGAGCGAGGAGGGGGGAAGGGACGGAGGGCGGGGGCGGAGGGACGAAGAGGCAGGACACGAGCGGGGTAGCGCGTTGAGGAGGAAGGATGTGGAGGAGGGCGCGTGGAAGAAGGATGACATAGGGGGATAAGAGAGAGAGGAGGGAGGAGGAGGGGGAGGAGGAGGAGGAGGAGGAGAAGGAGAAGGACCCATGACCCATCAATGATGTTGGAGTAGCTCCCTCTTCACGGGTTCCTACGACGATGCATGTCCACTGAACGAAACCCCCATTTGGGAGAAAACCGTTTAAAGATCTTGAAGCGTGCCAAAGCAGCATTCTCGGGACTCCAACACCACACATGAGCTTGAGTGTCGCGTGTTGGCGGTCCTGGACCGCGCCAGAGCACCAGTTTTGGGAACCCAACACCGCGAATCAGCGTAATTGATGCGTCCTTGCAATCCTGGACCATTACAAAACACCGCTTCTGCTACGTTCAACTATTGGAATCCGTGAAGCGATTGCAAATGTTTAAGACGAGTGCGCACGGCGCTACGGCGATAGCCACATTTTGAAAAAGAACCGCCTTCAATCCGTGAAATACTCGCAAGTAATTAAGACGAGCGCGCGCGGCGTTGATGCGAAAGCCACATGTTGAAAACCACCCGCCATCAAGCCGTGAACTTGTTGCAAATGTTTGAGACGAGTGTGCGCGGCGCTACGGCGAGAGGCACCTTTCGAAAACCACCCGCCCCCAATCCGCGAAGCGTTAGCAAATTGTTTAAACGAAAGCGCGCGGCGCCAGGACGAGAGCAACATGTTGATGTTGAAAACCGCCCATCCTCAAGGCGCGAAACCTCTCTGCAAATTGTTGAAACGAATGTACGCGGCGTTGAGGCGAGAGCCGCATTTTGAAATCCACCCGCCCTCCATGTGTGACATGACTATCAATGTGTAAGCTTCAGGATCGTACATGATAAGGAAGTCTCAGGCGAAACGGCCGGCCCGCCGTTTCGACCGGCTTCGGGATGCAACAGGGAGGAGTTATGTATAAGGAAAGGGAATGGAGGATGAGGAGGAGGAGGAGGAGGAGGAGGAGGGAGGAGGAGGAATGCTACATTGAAGAATGAGGTGGAGGCGGACGTAGAGGAGAAGGAGGAGGGACAAAAAACTTGGAGGAGCGGGAGGGGGCAAAGGGGAGGAGCAAAGCAGGCACGCGACTCTGACGTGCTTTTCTGGTGGCCCGTAGAGGTGTGACGAGGCACACGTTCAGAGTTGGCGCAGACCAATTCGTTTCTGGTGTGCCCAGTGGATGCAGACGAGGGGGGAGGAGGCTGACGAGGTGCAGAACGAGGACAACGAAAAAAATAAAGGGGAGGAAAGGAGGAGGAGGAAGAGGAGGAGGAGGAGGAGGAGGACGGAAAGGAGGAGGAGAAGGAGGAGGAGGAATTAAAGGATCAGGTGGAAGAGGATAGCAGGAAGGATAAGGAAGGGGTTCGCCGCAGGCGCTCGCCGGGCCCATCGAGATGTAGAGCTGACCGCCCTCGGCCCTCAGCGCTCTCCTGCCCCCCTCATCTTCCTCTCCTCCTCCTTTCCTCCTTTCCTCCCTTCGCGTTCCTCTCATCCTCCTCTCCTAGTCCTCGCCTAGTCCTCCTCCTCCTCCTCCCCCGCCTCTTCCCCCTCCTCCTGCTCCTCCTCCTTCTCCCCCTCCTCCTCTTCCTCCTCCTCCTCCTCCTTCTCCTCTTCCTCCTCCCCCTCCTCCTGCTCCTCCTCCAGCTCCTCCTCCTCCTCTTCCTCCTCCTCCCCCTCCTCCTGCTCCTCCTCCTCCTCCTCCTCCCTCCTCCTCCTCCTCCTCCTCCTCCTCCTCCTCCTCCTCCTCCTCCTCCTCCTTCCCCTCCTCCGAAGTTTCCACATCCGTGCTCTCGACCTTGGCCAGCCTGCGGGCAACGTCGGCGGGCGCGATGGCCCACGCGCGCAGTTGCTGGAAGGCACCGCGCAGAAAAGAGTACGCTGCGCGGGTTTGACTGTTGATGCGATGCCCCTCTTCGCCCCTTTATGGGACGAGGGAGAGGGGGGAACTTGCTCCTTCTGTCCCTCCTTCTGCGCCCCTCCTCCTCCTCCTCCTCCTCCTCATCATCATCATCATCAGCATCATCATCAGCATCAGCATCATCATCAGCAGCAGCATCATCAGCATCATCATCATCCTCATCATCAGCAGCAGCATCATCATCACCGTCGTCATCGTCGTGATCAGCAGCATCATCACTGTTATCAGTATCATTACCATCGTCAGCAGCATCAGCATCATCAGCAGCAGCATCAACATCATAGTTATCATCATCACCACCATCATCATCAGCATCATCAGCATCATCCTCGTCATCATCCTCATCCTCATCTTCATCCTCGTCATCATCCTCATCCTCATCATCGTCTCCTCGTCTTCCTCCCCCTCCTCCTCCTCCTCCTCCTCCTCCTCCTCATCTTCTTCCTGCTCCTCTATCCGTGTTCCCTTCCCGTCCTCAGGAGGGGCGTGCACTGATCAGAAGGCTCAGGACCATGTGTCCAGCGAGGCTTCGGTGCCGGCATTGAGGTGGCTACGGGTTTTCTCGGGCGCATGTTCTGAGCCTCGAGGATTTCAAAGCATTCCAAAGCAGACCTCGGCTCACCTTCTTCATCATCTTCGGTGCCAGTGTTGAGGTGGTGTTGCGGGTTTCCTCGGGCGCATGCTCAGATTGAGTTTCGAGGACCCCAAAGCATTCCAAAAAACAGCCTTCGCCTCACCTTCTTCATCGACCTCCTCCCTCCTGTCCCCTTCCGATGTCAGGGAGAGCCCAGTTTGTTCGTGTTGACCTCGCTTCGCAGCAAGGCCGGATTCGAAGACAGAGCGAAGGAAGAAGAAAATTAGCTTGGCGAAGGACCCAACCATATGCAGTTGTGAATACCGTCGTTGTTAGTATCGCCTTCGGTGGATCTACCCATCGGGCCACGAAGCGCGCAAAGAGTGTGCCGAAATGGGGCGGGGCCGCCATGCAGGCGCTGCTACTGGGGCCTGATGTAGAGCCCCCCTTTATAGGGACAAAGCATGTAAGGGATGTGCCGAAATGAGTCGGGGACGCCATGCGGGCGTTGCCACTAGGGCCTTCGGTGAAGCTCCCTATGGGGCCACGAAACGTGCGAGGGGCGAGCGGCGATGATGGCGATGATAACGATGCGCAGGAACGAAGCAGGGATACAAGGACGGAGGATGCGGATCAAGAGGAGGAGGAGGAAGAGGAGGTGGAGGAAGAGGAGGAGGCAGAGGAGGGGGAGCTGCGAGTATTGCCATGCAGGTGGGATGAATAAGGGGGCCAGCAAAAGGACAAATACCAAGAGAGGAAATGGGCATAACATGGCGAGATGCCCCGCGACGGGGGTAGAGGAGGAGCAGGGCGGAGCTCCCTATGGGGCCACGAAACGTGTGAGGGGTGTGCCAAAGTTGAGCGGCACCGCCATGCGGACCCGCTGGGACCTTAGGTGGAGCTCCCTACGGGACCACGAAACGTGTGAGGGGTGTGCCAAAGTGGGGCGGCGCCGCCATGCGGATGCCACGGAACGTGTGATGGGTATACCAAAATGGGCCAGCCCCGCCATGCGGACTGCGCCATTGGGACCTAAGGTGAAGCTCCTTATGGGACCACGAAACGTGTGAGGGGTGTGCCAAAGTGGGGCGGCGCCGCCACGCGGATTGCGCCATTGGGACCTTAGGTGGAGCTCCCTGTGGGGCCACGGAACGTGTGATGGGTAGGTATACCAAAATGGGCCAGCGCCGCCATGCAGATTGCGCAATTGGGACCTGAGGTGGAGCTCCCTATGGGCCCACGAAACGTGTGAGGGGTGTGCCAAAGTGGGGCGGCGCCGCCATGCGGACTGCGCCACTGGGACCTTAGGTGGAGCTCCCTACGGGGCCACGAAACGTGTGAGGGCTGTGCCAAAAATAGGGCGGCGCCGCCATGCGGACTGCGCCACTGGGACCTTGGGTGGAGCACCCTAAAGGGCCACGAAACGTGTGAGGGGTGTGACGAAGACGATGACGATGACGGTGGTGATGACGATAATGGTAATGATGACGGCCATGATGATGATGATGATGATGATGATGATGATGATGATGATGATGATGATGATGATGATGATGATGATGATGATGATGATGATGATGATGATGATGATGATGATGATGATGATGATGATGGTGATGATGTGATGATGATGATGGTGATGGTGATGATGATGATGATGATGATGATGATGATGATGGTGATGGTGATGGTGATGGTGATGGTGAGGTTGAGGATGAGGATGAGGATGAGGATGAGGATGAGGATGAGGATGAGGATGAGGATGAGGATGAGGATGAGGATGAGGGTGATGGTGATGGTGATGGTGATGGTGATGGTGATGGTGATGGTGATGATGGTGATGGTGATGGTGATGGTGATGGTGATGATGGTGATGAGGTGATGATGAGGCCATGATGATGCTGATGATGATGCTGATACTGATGCTGATGCTGATGCTGATGATTATTATGATTATTATGGCGGCCATGGTGTTGAAGACGATGACGATGATAATGATGATGATGGGAGGAGGGAGGGAGGAGGGGGAGGAAGAGAGAAGGAGAAGGAGGCGGAGGAGGGACGCGCGGCGCTGTCTCTTCAAAACGAGGACCCGACACCACAGGATGGTTGGGCACGAAACGAGGGCGAAAGACACTTCTTAGCTCGAGCCCTGGGAGAACCTCTGGGGGGTCGGCGTTGTGAGAAGATCTTGACGTCGGGGGTCTGGGCCAGCCATCCACCGCGCCGGCCCTGGCCGGGCCGATCCTGGGCCAGGATCGGCGCGCGTGGCCCAGCAGGGGCAGCGCACGCTCCCCGGCAGCCCAGCGCACGGCGGAGGGAGCGAGGGAGCCGCCGTCGCGCGGCCGCACCACCCGCGGCCGGGGAGGCCCGGAGGCGCAGAGGCGCGGGCGGCCGGACGCCGGCGTGGCAGCAGCCCAGCCCACCGCCCCAGATCCGTCGACTTCGTCGTCGCCGTCACCGTCGTCGCCGTCGTCGTCGTCGTGGTCGCCGTCGCCGTGGTCGTCGTCGCCGTGGTCGTCGTCGCCGTGATCGCCGTGGTCCTCTCCGTGGTCGTCGTCGTCCTCGGAGCTCTCGGGGAAGTCGGTGCCGGCTCTAAGTGTGAAGGCGGTGCTGGCCGCGGGACTCCGTGTCCGGGCCTCAGGCTCTCGAGCCCACGCCGGCCCCTGCGCGTCTCGCTGCGCCTGCTTCCGTGCGTCCTGTGTTCATGGCATGGGCTATTGACTCCTCTGCCCATCAAGTAGTGGCGAAGCGTCCTGGCTCGCCCACAGGCCCACCGGGGAATGTTCTAAGAACCTTCTGTGGTCTGCACGAGATTTTCTTGGAACACTTCGGGCAGGGACTGCCTTGTTTTAACACAACAGGTTTACTAAGAATATTTCCTGTCGGTCGTTGAGAGTAGATATTTTTGGATTCCCAGAACCTAATCTACTTCAAGCGCCTTCCAACTTGAAGAACCGATATGATGTTGCTGCGTGTTGTTACTTTCTGGGCGGGCCCAAACTCAATCTACTTCATCCGCCTCCCTACTTCATGTCTCTACCTACTTCTTCCGACCGATGGGTACTTGGGTCTTAGAACGTCTGTGGGTTCTAAGAGCATTTCATGGTATGGACGCCCGAAATGGGTACGGAAAAAATGGGCACAATGCCCAACAACAAATCTTGTCCCAAGCCGGCAGCGGCCGCTGTTGGGCAAGCGGCATCCTGTCTCAAATGGACAGGCCGCGGCGGCGCGAACAACGAGCCCTGTTCAACACGAACACGAACTGCTGTTGGGCATCGTACCCATTCTTTTCGTACCGATGTCGTTCGTGCCAATGTACAGGGAATACAAAAAACTAGGTCGGCATGCCCGAGCTCAGCCTCGCGGACCTACTCTAAACAATATGTTAAAAAACCCTTGTTTTGTTCCACTCCCTGCCGTCATCGCGCAAATGAGATTCGAAAAATGATACGGCGCTCCAAACTCTACGCGACAACCCAGAATTTGAAAATCCTTGTGTTGTTTAACCTTTGTTGTTTCAAACTCCCTGTAGGAATGACGGGACGGTCGGTCCCTCTACAGGAGGAGAGGGGGGGAGGAGGCGCGGGGGGGAG